GACCTGTGACCTGACCTGGTAATGTCAGTGACCTCTTATAGCAACATATGTACTAGGCAACTGACGCCCTATCGCTGATTCTCGACAAAATGCGTTTTCTTCGGTGTTATAGCGCATTCCCTAGATGACCCGTGAACGGTGAAACATTTCATCTTTGACCTGACCTGTGACGTCATCGGTGACCCTGAGGTCAATGAAATTTGGTTTTCCGCGACAAATTTGACAGGCCTTTCGAACGTCGTTTGAATTTTACGGATCCGTCCAGTAGTTTCGGAGATACGAGGGGGGCAAAAAATAGCCCCCCCCCCACCAGGTCGCGTTATAAACAGACCCCACCAGGGCGCGGGTTAAGAAACGACAACTGTATTCAGCAGTTAACAGTACACTGCACTGCAACACAACACTGCACTCGCTGCAACACAACAGCGCGGCACCAACAGAGCAGCAAACTAACACAACCGTAAACACAGCAAGCAAACTAACACAGCCGTAAACACAGCAACCCGAAACGTTGAGCTTTAACCCGCGCCCCACTGGGGTCTGCGTATAACACGCCCTACTGGGGGGGGGGGGGGGGAGGCTATTCATAGCCCCCCTCCTAACTCCGAAACTACTGGGCCGATCGTCAAAATTCAAACGGCGTCTGATAGCCCCGGAAAAACTGTCGAGCGAAACCTAATTTCATTGACCTCGAGGTCACCGATGACGTCACATGTCAGGTCAAAGTAAAAATTATTAGTATTTTGGCTTGTTCACGTTTTGGGCTCTGGCCGCCGACTTACAAGTCAGATCAGGCTCATTTTTGGTTCACACACTCGTGAACAGATGCTCTAGATACTCTGAGGGTACCAAACTTGTACTTTGATTTTCAGGTCAAGGTCAGGTCATCACAGGTCACGAAAATATTATATCATCCATCGATCACGTGACACATGTTTTATGGTCCATTTAGGTCAGAGATTTCGAATTTGATGTCGTCTGTGTCATTCGAGGTCATTTTGAGTCAAATTTAGCTCAGGTCAGGTCACTTTCAGGTCAAAAAAGGTCAAATTTTGAAGTTAAAATTTTTCAACAAAAAAGGTGTATATTGGATGCAGTTTGAGCTCAGGAACACGATGGTGCTATTTATATTGGCGTACGATGTCAAATTCATGCTGAAAAATTGATTTGAAAAATTAATAATTGTTAATTTTTTGCAATAATGCGTATAACTTGGCCATTTTTGAAGATATTTAGCTAAAACTTGCTAGAGTTAGTCATAATAATGCGTTCTATCACATATATTCCGGTTTTTTTTTCGAAAAGTCAAAAAATTTTCGAAAAAAAATGTAAAAATATAAATTTTGAGTTTTATTATATAAAATTTTCGAAATTTTCAAAATGTTGAAAATCCGAGATAGCAGTTTGATAGCGCAGTCTATTCTGAGTCCTTTCATGCAGAGAAATTGGATCTAGCTTAAAAACTGAGCTCTTGGGAGCGATTGCCGCGGTTCAATGTTTTGCGTCGAAATCGGCCGAACATGACGTCACTCTGACGTCATTTACGGCCGACCTATGGTAGGTACGAAGTTCAAATTTTGACACCAGGTGTCGAATTGATGCAGCCGAAGGTACTGAAAGTTTGGCGTCGATACGTCAAGCGGTTTGGAAGTTATTGCAGAAAAACGGGAGGGGGGCTATAAATAGCCCCCCCCCCCAGTGGGGCGCGGGTTAACGACGGAAGTCGCAAACAAAACCACGTGGAGTCATTCCGGACACGTGTCCGGTATTACCCCGAGGTCAGCTTTATTTTAAGAAAGCAGGTAGCAGTCAAAGGCATTGCGCCGCAAACGCCTCCACATCCAGCAGTCGCCTAAGAAAGGCTTAATTGAAGATCATTGCAAAGCAGCACTTCTGAAAATGCGTTGACACATTTCACAGTCAGCAAATAGATGCAACAAAAATTAAAAATCAGATACAAAAAACACATTTAACGCTATAAAAATGAAAATAATGGAGCTACCGTGAAAAACTTGCACCACGTGCTAGAATGGCGCTCAACTGAAATGTAAACAATATCAGCTGATTAGTGATGGACAAAGTACTCACTAGAGATGGGTGGCCGGCATTACCCACCGTCCGCCATTGCCCCACTCTCCCCTAAATATCGGTCCGTCGTTTTCCATGAAATGAGGTTGACTGTCGGCCGGCCTCTGGCCTGCAGGGTGTGCTTTGTTCGCTGGTGGTGCGGCGGTGGCCACAAACCACGCGCAGACGCCACTCGCCGCCGATTCAGGCTCAGAAAACTGCGGCGCGCCGCTTTAACGGCTTCAGTCGCCAACACTTCCCGTCAAAGGCACACTGGAAACGCTTCGACTTTGGAAACTTTGGCACTGCGACGATGAGAATTGAGATCATAGGCGGATCGGCTGCAAAACTCAGCCACTCAATAACGGCTCCTATCGATGGAGGTCTGTTCTATTTTAAGTTGATATTACCAAAAATCTCATAGGGAAATAGCAAACGTCCCATCTGCGTACCATGCATGGTACGCAGCACTACGAGGGAGCACATTTATATGTCTAGTTTTTATCGTTGAAACCCCAACCCGTGAGTCACCGTGCGTTTCTTATCGGATGGCGCCGGTATCAGCTCAACCTATTTCACCTGGCAGTTAGACTGTGCCGCAGTACAGGAATGTACTGCGGGACAGCATATAGAAGCGCTTCCTTCTTACGCAGCCAAAGCGGTAATTCTGGTGTCAATTTAACGAGGCTTCTCAGCGTAAAAGGTGTCGATGCTGTAAAAAGGTATCATAACATTCATCTAGCATACAAATAGCAGTAAACTGGATCGATTGTCCATTCAGTTTGGTGTCCGGACTCCGCCGTAGGGCAAATCGAGCCGGGCGGCTGCCACCGGGCCCCGCGCTCTATTTTGGCGCCTTTTCCGCCACTGGCAGTCTGCGGCCGCGTTATTTTTGGCACGCGCGAGCCGCTGTTTTGTGTGCGGACAGCCCGAGGTGCCCTGCCCTACTCGTACGCGCGTGCATGTCTCCGTCGCTGCCGACTATTAGACTGTCGGCGACGTCGGCGACCGGTCGTTAGAGCATATCTGTGCCGGTGACGAGTCGTTCAGTGGTGCTGGTGCTCAGGGAGGGCCGGAACCGCCCCCTGCGGAGTAGTAAACGATTCCCAGCGTCGTCCTCCAGGTCCGCAATGGACAGTTACCTCGCCGCTGTCTGTCCGTGTGATGTGTGAAATGGGATTCCTGCGGGGAGATGTTTTGGGCGCAGATGTGACAACAAATATACAACAAAGGATATTTATTATTGAGGCGCTTGTGAATCGCATTACAGGTGGTTCTTTGGTAATGTAACTTTCTTCGTAGCACACAAACAGCCACTGCTTTGTTTGTTTCGCACTGCTCACATCGTGTCTTAATTCGCGACTGTAGTTCCAGACCATATCGACTTTTGTTGGTTTTATCTATGTGACTTCATCGCCCCTGCGCTGGGAGATACAGGCCGGGAGTAGCGGTCGACGCACATTTTAGGCATTCCTCAGTATTGATTACTTTATAAGTCAGGACTGTCTTTCTGGCACGTTCCACATTCCTGCGGTGTGCTTCAAAGGCGAATAGAAAGCGGGTCGACCTTTGGTTTGCATTCTTCATGAGCCGCTCCGATGTCGCCGCTTGAATGCCACCAAATGACAGCGTGGATGGGATCTGAACTTTGATGACTTAACCGTTCGGCCCCAAATGAGTGCCGAGCGGCGGGCTGGACCTGTTTTACGATGACCCGTTTCAGTGGCGCTGCGGTAAATTAACACAGGGCACGGCCCAGTCGATGAAATGGGGATCGATTCGAACTACTGCAGGCCTGCAACTGTGTTCATGCAACCAGGGGTATACAGACTAGCTGTAGATGCAGCTACTTGTCAAGGGGGCTAGCAGCACGTCCCTGGTGCGGCAATTCATACTGTTAAGATGCCTATGAGCTACAAGCATCTTTAATCGTCAAATGGTTTGTTTTATCGCCATGGAAACACAATGCGCACTCGAATATTCATGTAGATTTGAATCATCTTACCATCCCACTTGTCACTTACTTCTTCCGCTAGTTGACGTTCAGGAACGGACTCGCAACGTCCGAGACATTTCTTTGCCGCATTCTTGTTGCATCACAATCGTCTGACTCTGCCATCCCGCCCAGTATCTCCGCTGGCCAGACACTCAACTCTTCAGCAGCAGTCGCGCATCTATGGGCCGTCGCCCAGTCGGTCGGGCTGTAAAGATTGTGACTTTACTGCATCTAGACCCCGCCGGATGGCTCGGATGGCAGTGGGCTTAGAGTGGAACGGGCTCAGAGGGCAGAGGAGACGAGAGAGTGATCGAGGAGTAAGGTCGAGGCGGGGTAGGGGAGAGGACCAAACTTTCTTCATTCTGTAAAAGGATGCTACTGCGGGCGGAAAGAGTAGCTCGTGCGTGGGACGAGAGTGGGTGGCGGGCCGTGCCTGATGACCGCTACTGTCATTTGTCGCAAAGTCCGACAGTCATGGATTGACTTGTGACGTCATCAGACCGACAGTCATGAACCGACTAGTGACGTCATTGAGCGAACGGCGCCGAGATTGTGGCTCTATGAACTGGTGACGATGGCAAACCGGTGACGGTTGGTAAACCATGGACGGTTGGTTTACTGGTGATCGGTGATGAACATTGAACTGGTGACCATTTATACACAGCGAAATGATGATGGGCCACGGCCACAGCAGCAGACATGTGTCTACCATAGCCAACAGTATTTTTGAACTTCAACACTTCCTTATTTGAATTTCAATGACGTATGAAGTGGACTTTATATTCATTGGATGCCGGGGTGCTGACGAACAGAAAATAAAAATAATCTACTCGGGGAACTCGGGACACATCCTGTTACGCGCAGTATCGAAGAAATCCGTGCTACGGAGCTCGATAAGATTCTAAAGGTTTGCTTAGAGTGAAACAAAAGTGAGCGCTTTGTTTTCGTCGTTATTTTATTTGACGTAAACTTCGTTCAACACTAATATGTATATCTGCAGCGAACAGGAGGATGCAGTTCACGTTATGGATGGCAGCTTCGTCTGCTGTACACGTCATTATATTTTACATAGAAAACGTCCGACAGCAACCAATACTGTCACGGTCACCGGTCACATGCAACACGGATGGCTTTAAATAAAAATTGGAAATAATTTATCACAAATACATATACACCATGTCAGGCACGCACACTGCAGTCGCGCACCCACGCATACAAACTGGCACCCTCAGCGCACGGCGGCACAGCAGACACAACAATCACACTTGGACTCAGATTGCCACAGCTACTGTCTACCGACACAGAGGAACTGGGCGGCCGGCCGTGCCGCGGAACGGTGCCGGCCCGGGCCCCGGAACGGTGCCGGCCCGGGCCCCGGAACGGAGCCGGCCCGGGGCTGCAGAGCCAGCGCTGGGAACCCCCGCCGCCGCCGCACCCTCACAAACGTCACCCCTGAGCGCCTGCCGCCGGCCATACTGCACCGGCCTCCGCCGGTCAGAGAACGACTCACCGGTCCCCGAGCATCGAGAGATTGCGGACCGACTGCTGACTGTCCCGGCTGGCGGACCAACGGTTGGACCGACTGTCAAAATTACAATGTACATAAACATAAAAGGTTGACGAGATTTTCTCATGAGGTACATTATGCTTTACTATTTCATTTAAAATAGCGTCAACATTTAAACGTTTACGGTTTAATTTGATGCGCTTCTCTTTGCGCTTGAGTTCGGGCGGAAGCCGGGTGGGACACAGAGCATCTCGTCCCGTCCCACACTGTCCAGCGGCCGCGGACACTGACGTCAACCCCCGCCCTTGGAATAGCGCTGTGGGCTTGACGCATGCGCGGCTGACGAACGTCCATTTGGCTAGTCTACGCGAACAGTTCGCAGTTCACTGGGAGAGTCCCTCAGACATCCACCGTGGGTTCCGGACTGGGACTGGGGCTGGGACTGTCCCGCGGGGTGGGCGGGGACGCGGGCCGGTCGGCGTTCCAGAGCAGCGGCACGGCCTGCTCGCCGCCGGCCGCGCCCGCCGCGCCGCCCATCACCAGCACATCGTCCTCGTCCACATCGTCGATGTCGTCGAAGCCCTCGTCACCGGCCAGACAGGTCTCGATTCCGCTGGGCGACGGAGGCCTGGGTGGATCAGCCTCCGCCGGCAGGGCGAGCGGGCCCGCTGGGGTCCCTCGGCGCGGCGCCGCGCGGGAGATGCACGTGTCAGAGGAAAATGGCCGCGGCCGCGCCGCCAGCTGCCGCACGTCGCCGGCACTGTGCGCCTTCTCGATGGCGGCGGTCGAAGGCGCTGCCAGGGACGACTCTGGCGGGAGCGGCTGGGACTGGGACAGGCCGCTCTCCACCGCCGCCGCCACGGTGCCCGCTCCTGCATCGGCCTCCTCCGGGCTGACCTGGTTCAGGTTGGTGTGGCTCTCCCTCTGCAGACTGTAGCTCTGAGAGGAGATTGTACTGAGTTTCCGCGGCACGAACGCCACCGTCAGGCCGCCGTTGCGCCCCTCGACCTTGACCTGGGCGGGAGTGCCGCCGACTGCGCCCGGCAGCGGTGCGGCCGCGACGCCGCCGACGGCGCCGCTCTCGCTGTCGTCCAGAGCCACACCGTCGTCGACTCCCGACGACTCCTCCTGACTAGACTCGGTGAGCTTGCTGTAGATGTTGTGGAAGCGCGAGTGTCGGCGCGGCGGCGGCTCGGCGCAGTGCAGCGGGCAGCTGCTCTCGTGATGTCGGCCCGGCACCTGGGTGCCGCCGCCGGCCGCCACCGCCGCCGCCGCTGCGGCAGCCGCCTCGTCGGAGAAGGCAATCTGCCGCGTCAGCTTCGGCTTCGGCTTGAGGATACCGCCGGAGGAGGCCTGCTTCAGCAGCGGGTGCTGGTGGTGCAGGCCGTGATGGAGCCCGTGGTGCAGACCGTGCGGGTGGTGGAGGCCGTGGGAGGCACCGGCCGGGTGCGACAGCGGAATGCCTGAGTTCTGCCGCACCACGGTCGGCCGCAGAGGATGGCCTCTGAAGCTTCCTGTACGTTCTGCGCCGTCCACCAGACTGGACTTGTGCAGACTGCCCTGGCCTCGCTGCAGAGCTGTGCTGCTCATGTCACTAGAAACGCTGGAGCGGCTTAGTCTCCAAGATTGCGTCGTGTTGGAGCCTGCTGTCGCCGACGAGTCGTTTCGCGAGCTGCTGAGATTCGAGTCCTGAGAAGGCTTGCGCGTTACAGTCCATGAGTTACGGCGCCGGTTCGGTACGAAACGGTGCATGCCGTTCTGGGCGCGAAGTGAGTCCGAACGTGACGAGCTGAAGTTATCGCTCGACAGGCTGGCGTTACGTTTGTTCTTCTCCTGGTTCTTTTGGATCTCGGCGATCTGGTAGGCGTAGTCGTTGCTCGAGTCCAGCGGGTCCTTGGGCTGTGCAGGACACCAGAGAGTTCGGAAGGTGTCCCAGCGACTGCGGGTCGGCGGTTTGAGCGGCTCGTGCAGCAGGCGCTGGCTGCAGCTGCACTGGGCGCTGTCCTTGCTCTCCTTGGAGGCGCGGTCCGCCAGGCTGTTGGTGTTCGCCGGGGTGTGCCGGTTGCTGAAGTTACTGCTGTGGCGACAGCGACCGATACCGCGAGTAACGCGCGACTCTTCGATCGCCTTACATATCATGACACAGTCCTTCTTGAACTGCTTGGTCATGATGGCGTACAAGAACGGGTTGCAGCAGGAGTTGAACGGCAGGATGAAGACAGTGAACACCTTCGCTCCGGAAAGGTCGATAAGACGTACGCCAAAAGCCGCCGTCACTGCGAAGAACGCGATCGGAGCCCAGCAGAGGAAATCGGTGAAGACGAGCAAAGCCATTCTTTTGGCGATCCTGGAGTCGTTCGAGTTCCAGGCCTGGCTGCCTCGGATGGCGCAGTACATCTTCCAGTAGCAGCCCATCAGGATGGTGAAGGCCAGCCCGTTGAAGAACATGAGCAGTACGACGTAGCTGGTTCCGGCGCCGGCCGTCTGGAAGGGCAGGCACACGGCGAAGCGCCGGTAGTCGGAAACTCCCACGAGCGGCAGCGTGGCCATCACCAGCGCGAACAGCCAGCCGCAGGCCATGATGTAGCTGGCGTGCTTGATAGAGAGCCGCTTGTTGAGGTGCATGGCGTGCGTGATGGCATAGTTGCGTTCCATGGTGATGACGGCCAGCGTGAAAACAGACAGTTCGGAGCTGAGCACGCCGAGGAAGCCGGCCAGTTTGCAGCCGGCAGACATCTGCCAGGCGATGGCGTACTGACGGAACTTGCCCAGAGTGGAGGCGTCCACCACGGCCAGGAATCCTGACGGGAGAAAGTGAATCGATAAGTCAACATATTTGAATTGCCATGAGACTAGAAACACGTTGTAAATCTGATAACTTCTCCTTGCTGCTTAGAGAGCAAGAGCTCTTAAGTCATTCTTTCGTGGAACGGTCACCGTTCTACCATTTAAGGATATGAACGTTTATACTATACTTCCATAGTGCAGTCAGGAGGTCCCAAAGAAGTGGCCACCACCCTCCGTTCCCATCCCACTATTCGTCCACTGGAGTTGTCCCGGCCCCCACCAGGAGACTCCGGAAGCGGCGGGGTGGAGCTCTATGGTAGGTCGATCGATGCAGACCGTCGTGTGGAGATATTGGCGGAAAGGATACGGCCGTCGCATCGGAGCGGGGAAGTAAACAGGGACATCGAGAGGCATTTGGCCGATTGCATGAGGAGGATAAGGGGTTCTGTCGACCTGATTCAGGGCTTATGCATCTACTCCACAGAAGGGCTGCGAAACTTATAGCATGGACGCTATTAAATGAACAAAAGACGTCGCCTTATGGCGCATGAGTGTGTAACTAGAAGACTTCACGCAACTTCTTTATCAGCTATTTTCACGTTACGATATACTGTAGCAAAAATTTGATGATTTTTTTTTGCGCCTCGCTAAATATTCTGGATTTAGGGTACACTAACCGAGGTAGACTCCCATGAAGAAGTCGGCGGCGGCCAGGTTGCAGACGAGGAACCGGGGCACGTCCATTTTACTTCTGGCGAACACCAGTACGAAGACGACGGTGCCGTTTCCGAGGAGAGCGAGCAGGAACACCACCCAGACGCCGCAGCGCAGGGTCCACCAGTCAAACAGATCCTCACACGGCATGAACGGAGCTGCGGGGGAGGTCAGAGAGGTCACATGAGGTCACGGCCAATAGCGGATAAACGGGGCATCAGAGCTCTCATGATTTATAACGCATTGTTTTACAAAAGTTTGTAGGCTGTAGTGAATGACATTGAGTTAAACGTACTAAATGTTTCACTTTGTTCGAGAGTGAAGATGACAAATAAGTCAGGCATCCGATGTCCTCTGTTTCAGGCGACAGCTGCTGGAAATGGGAACGGCGCGATACATTTTCCGGCTACGACCGGGTTAAGTTGAAATTTCCGAGCAACAATTCAATTTCCTTGGCGACATTGCCTCATTTATTCGAGATATAGGTGCGGGGTGCCTGCTACGGATACGTTATTGCTAATAAATCAATACAAAACACTTAACTACTTAGACCAGCTTCTTGCAATGTAACTCGCGCACTTCAATAAAGCATACAGTATCCATCGATATAAAACCAATATAATTATACTGTCCTGCTGTGCATTTACACATGCTCGCCTCCTCTGAAGCCCTACGAGTCTCGTCTACTCATCTATGGAGCACTCACAGGGCGAAGGCGAGCAGCGGATCTCCGTCGGAGGCTCGTCGGAGGGTGACCCGAGGTCAAACAGGCTCGGGTCGTCTGGGTCAATGTAGTCCTCCAGGGTCAGGTTGTCTGAAGGAACAATTGTGGCCCGGGTCAATGGAGGTATCTAACCCAGTACTCGCCACGTTTGACAGTGAAGCCATCGATCGACGAAACATCGTGTGACCTGGATTTATCCTTTATTAGATAAGACATGCCTGTTGGAATTAAACTAACTGGCTAGCGAGCTAATCCGGTTGCCTACCTGACAAAATTAATGATGACATTACGTCCTGGCTTTATATGTGCCGTCTACCAAATTGGCAGCTACCTTTTACTTGAAGGAGATTCGTAAATGATGGCAGCAAATACTGTTGATCCTTATCGTTCACAAACATCCTTTTAACTAATTGCGTACAGCATACTGTTTACACGTTGTCATTACAATGTCCTAGTTTAAAACAAAACAGCACACAAGTGATGTCATAGGATCAGCGCGCGTAGACGCCGTCTCGGGTCGGCTGGAGCGCGCCAGGCTGTGACGCAGGTCTATGTTGATTCAGCAAACACCGACCGAACTTCGCACGCACACGACTAAAAATGTGTTGACGAAGTAAACGCCACACGTCTAAAGATGCCCGGAAACCAGGCCACACTGCCGCTCCCGCCAGTTCATTCATCAGCGGGGCAGTCGGCACAAGAAGAAGTTGGAACTGAAACTGTGTTTAGTGAAATGGGTGTCTGGACCAACTAGATTTGTGCGTGTATTGATTAATGAAATCGATAAGCTTGTTTGGTATCAAATTTTATAATCCCTCACTGAAAATCAGTCGCCGGTACGAAATAGGAGCACCTGTCAGTCGCTTGCTGTCAGCGGACCCTCTGTAACAGTGCCGCCACCCTGACCGTCACATCCGAGAAATAAATCCTCAGCTTCCCGTCTCTGTCGCCATCCCAAGGTGTGCTCCCACTGTTCCCTCTTATGCCTCTCCCTGTCCTGTCGATGTTAACTGCTAGTGTTCCCGCGGTCACCTGGTCGCTCACCGAGGCTGACTTCGCTCCAGGAGAGCTCTCCGCCAATCAGACCGAGCTGGTCGGCGCTGGCGAAGATGACCGTTTCCTGCAGCTGGTCCAGGGACGCGTTCCTGGGCGTCTTCCGACCGCGGAACTGGCAGCAGTGGTAGGCGTAGCTGACCTCCACAGAGTGCAGCTGCGGCAGCTGCTCGGGCTCCGGGAACTCGCGCAGCTCCAGCATGTTGCTGCAGTGCAGGTGCATCACGCTGGAGAGGCCGCGGTGCGGCAGACGCGGGAACTGGTTGTCGTTCAGGTTGAGCCGCTGCAGACGGGACAGCGGCTCGAACGCGTCGTCGGCGATGTTGGCGATCTTGTTGGCTCGCAGGTCACTGTCGGAAGGCAGAGAATGCAAAAGTCAGATACAGAGAGATGTTATTATGCACATTGCATTGTACAAAAGAAGTCACGCATAACCCAGAAACAGGTGAATTGGTCGGCATGGATTCACCATAAACTTCTGGCCTAATGCTACATTTAGTGTTTTCGGGCTAATTCCCTACGTTTTTATTTCGACTTCCGACTCTATCTGAAGGTATATGAGCATTGTTTCAAAAGAACCGGTGGCACTTGAAGTGAAATCGACTGTCCTTCCGACCAATGACCAGCATCTTTACGGTGTTCTGTGCTCGGGAGACTCCCGGCCGCAGTTCGGAGGGATTTCTGAGCCAACAACTCGACCCGGGAGTCGTTAGACGGGATCGTGGCCCCGGAGACACCGATTAACCGGCCCACACTGGACCTCAACATGAGTCGGCGAGATTCCGTTCGTGGAACTCCAGTGTACCGTAGAAAGTGATTCATGCTGCCGGGCGGAGATGTAGGTACGGCGAACTGTTTGCCGTGGCTCGGCCCATCCCTCCCTTTGTCCGCCGGTCTGTATGCCAATGTGTGTGTGTGTCATGGTCATTGGCTGGCTGTGGGCGCCGCGGTGCGGAGGCTGACGGAGCGCTGTATCACGGTTCGTTAGCGGGGCGGAGCACCGCGCCCTGTGACGGCCGGCCTCAGGGGGAGGCACTCCGGCACTCCACTGAGCAGACCCTGTCCGGAGTGGGCCCGCCGGCCGCGCCGCCCCTCAGACAGAGCAGCTCGTTTGTAAGCTGAATGGCGGCGCCTAACCTCCGCTCAGCCAGCCACTAATGACGCCACGATGACGGCCGATGAGTGACGACACAATGATAACGGCCGAGCCGGGAACGTCTCTGAGCGAACTGAGCTCGAACCGAGTCAGACTTCGAATGGTACGGCGACGTGTATTGTTTCAATGCCTTTGCACTGGCTGGCGTTTACGAACGGGTGGCGTCGTGTCAGTGAAAACGTGTCAGCACGGGCCGCGGTGTCGCCTCATTACAGACGGTGACAGCTCTGTTCGTGGGTGGTCAGAGTTGCTGGGGGTTGAGCAGGACGTGTCAGAGCTCGGCGCTAGAGGTGGCAAAATGTGGACCCGAGGACCCGGTCCAAAGAACCAGTCTGGACCCATATGGGTCCAGACCGGTTCCTGGAAATTTTCTGACGGGTCCAACCGGGTCCTACCATAAACTATACATCTTGCACACTACACATTATTGCAAAATATGAAGTGAATGAAGTGAATGTTTCTTTGCACACAGTAGCTCATGAGTATTCCCAGTGGGAAATAGGCTGTTTTACATGATGCAACTAATGATACCTACAAATGGTTTGTATTAATTGACTTTTGGGGAACGGGTCCAACTGGTTCCGATTCCAACAAATAACTGGTCCGACTGGTTCCAGAAATGTCCAGCCGGGTCTGGTTCGAGTCTGGTTCCCAAAATTTTCATCTTTTGCCGCCTCTACTCGGCGCTGTGTCGGCTTGACCAGCTGTCAGACCGGAGCATGTGTCGCGCATGGTTGGACAGACGCCAGCCGCATACCTCCGTCCAGCTCACAGTAACGTCATCTCAGTCTCGAACCAGTCAGAAGTCGGACTGAGACTGAGTTCTTTCAGAGGTATTATCTTTTGAAGAAAGAATACAGGATGGCAAAGGTAAATAGAGCTCAAGTGGAGTGCAACTTTGACCTGCATCTACTGGCGAAAAGAGCTTTTGGGTGCTTTTTGGACGGTACTATAAAAGACTGACGCAGTATGACGCAGTATGATATAAAAGACTGACGCAGTATGACCAGGGGCACCTTATAAGGACATAACGCCCGCCGACCTTCCACTCTCACACCATGAATGGTTTTATCAGATGACCAGTGCTTTTTCGCCAGTGTCCAAGAGCTTGTATTGCACAATGGCACCGCGGCCTATGAAAAGCCGGCCCCGTCAGCGGCGCGCTGAGGTCGCCCTGTCCGGCGGTCGACACAGCGCGGCGCGCGCGATAAATGACCTCCACTGGACAATCGGCCCCGTCAGGCCGGGTAGCTCAGCCCGTGAAGGCGGCTCTTCAGCCGGGTCACGCCCATCACTCGGACATAATGACTGGAGGCTGCGGGCTCGTACGCCGCGACAAAACATGACAGGCAGCGGTGGCGGACGTGCGGAGAGTGGGGGCCGGTCGCTGAGGACAATGGGATGTTGAGGCAGGTGTCTCTGCGGCGGCACGCCCCTCGCCGCAGGAGACGGTGACTGGGTCACTGGGGCTGGGCGCCGAGTGGGACACTGGATGGGATACTGGATGGGACACTGGCTGGGACAGTGGCTGGAGCTGAGGTTAGGTGGAGCAGCTTGGACCCGCTCAGACCAGCCGAAATGCGCACGTGCATCTACCTTTGGGTGTAGGAAGATGAATCATGAAGATATATAATTGTTTCTATGAAGGACGCGTCTGAGGTATTTATCTCATGACAAAATAGATCCAGACGAAGGTCATATGCGTCGGATAGAGCGCACACGATCGCAGAATAGGCCCTCAATCACAGTCTGTCGGAGCTGAATGCGTGAGGTGCTGGGAGAACCGTCATGTGCTGTCTCATCGCTCATCGCTGAGATATTCATTTCAAAAGAGAACTATTGAGACGTGGAATGAATCATTCAATGACTGAGCCAGCGGCCGCACTATCCCAAATTCAGTCACACAATGTGGAGTAAGCTGACGTTAAGAGGTACAGATATACAGATACAGATATCATGGCTTAGGACCAGACTATTTACAGGGCACCTTGAGCTGGGAGCAGATATTTAGTATTTTCAGCTCACAGCGGCGTAGCTGAGCGTCGAGCCACGCCACATGCTCGCTGAAAACCCTTCAACTACTCACAGTATGAGGAGGCCGGTGAGTCCGACGAAGGTGTCGCCGGGAAGATCTGCGATCTTGTTGTCTCTCAGCAGCAGGTCGTGCAGCTGATCCTGATGTCGAAACAGCTGGCCGGAGATTGACTCGATGGCGTTATACGAGACGTCTCTGAAAACACAAATAATAATCGTCGTCTGGCAAAGTTGAAAATTGGAACGATTGTCCGTTAACTGTTATTCATACAACATGTGGACCATGAATGGTAGTTGCTCTAATTTACTGTTCTAAATGTGAGCGAAATATGACACCAAATAATGAATATGCAGTTCTGAGGATTATGACTTTGCGATTACTCAGAAAGTGCTGGTGCCTAACAGAGCCGTCTGACTTTTAATGAACTGCATATCACTTCCTCAAACGTCATGTTTTAACTGAAATGTGTTCAACTCAAGATGATTTGCGGCATAACTATGTAGATGTAGGAGCCTACTTAATCTGACAGAAAAATGATTTGACTGGAAAAATATGTGATTTTTTCAGACAAATTAACGTCTATTGCCAAATGTCTCTTCGGAACCTATATCTGGTTTACATACATCAAGAGGCTGTAACAGGTAAGGCAAAATATCCATAAAACAGCTGCTGCTTGGTGCTCAAAACAAGGCCATGGCGCACCAGTACCATAAAAAGGCTAATTTGCCAGGAATCACCTGCCCACGCACTCTGGAACTATCAGGCGTCCACCCCGCACCCCGGACGGCCTAATGTGGAGGTCTGCCGGCCTGCCCAGCGCCCGCCCAGAGAGCCGACCCTGGCGGTCCAGTTCCTGACTGAGCCCTGCCTGGGGTGCAACCGCCCGCAGCCCGGCAGTCCCGGCCCGCCGGCTGCAGCCGCCGTCCATTGTTCCGGCCGGCGCCGTGGTGTATGAGGCAGAGAGCCCGGCCCGGCCGGCCGGCTGTCGGCGGCTCGTGTCTGCAGCAGGCACTCCGCGCCGCACGCCGCCAGCCATCAGTCATGGCGCTCTCGGCCCGATCTGTTACCGCCCCGCTCCATGTGGGCCGGCCGCCGCGGGCCCCAACCCTGTCGCTCCACCCATCTGCAGATTACTGCTCCCGGCACGGCGGGGTGCGAGCCCAGTTTTTGCCACCGGCAGAGACGGATGGTCGCCGGTGTGACCCTGCTGTTTACGAGCCATCAACCAACTGCGCGTGTCGAGACGGTCTGCTGTAGGATTGAGTTGTAGAAAGTGAATGGAGACGCTTGCAAGACTGTTTATTTTTCGTGGACTTGCTTACCGAAGCCTGCAAAACGGTAGCGAACAGCACGCATGCTACTGTATTTAAGAACAAAAGATCAATAACGAGTGCAAAATTTACTTTACATATCTGCTTTGTAAAAAGGTAAAATTCTTTCCCGGGTGTCCCTTGATGTTGTCGCATCTAAATGGCTTATGCTGATGTGCTAACTACAAAGCTTGCCTCTTTTTTACCAAGGCGACTTCAATTAATCATCATCACATAACCAAATGAGGTTAAATTTACATGGACATACAAGATGCACCGTCTAATGGCGGCATGTCGGCGTGGCACCCGTCTCATGCGTCTTTCTCGCAGCACAACAGAAAATGACGGACGACCGCGGCGAGCTAATGACGGCTCGGCGGCCGCTGCGAGTCGCTGCGAGCCGCGCCGCTGCCAGTTCGGCCATCGGTTACAGCCGTATAATCAGACAGTACTCTCGGAGCTACATTCCGACAAACATAGGGATCCGTTCAGAAGCGGCCTCCACAGCAAATGACTCGGACAACGACCGCGCGGCGGCTGCAGCGGCGAGCCTGTACCGTATCCCTCCCCTCCCCGGCCTGGAGGGGGGGGACGGTCCCATGGGAGCCACTGCGCTGGACAGAGAACGGCCAGCGGGATGAACCAAACGGGAATCCCGCATGGATAATTGGCGCAGTGGACTCAGTGGGGTTACGTTGGGAAAGACCCAGAAGTTTTTTTATGTAAATTTAGTCCGAACCTTTTGATAGGAAGGATTCACAAGGACAGAGCCACCGCTATGCGAAGCTTGTTGCGGTGACCCTATAGCTTCACTGGGTACTTACAGTAGTCGGAGGTCGACACACTGGTCCAGCTTCGGCAGAGCTCGGAGGCTATTCGATGGCAGATATCTGAAATAAGATCACAGCCGAGTCAATTTACGCCGACAAATTTGAAGCTCTTCGATATAAAACAATGTATTTGATTTCAATCACCAAACAGCTAGCAACCGAGCTCATCCCCACTTTTCATAAACATTCCATTATATTGCATCATACTGAACTGCGCTACAGTTTCAGCTTTCACAGACAACGTATCGGATTCTGTTTCACTCTTCCCAGCGGGCCATCCTCCCGTCTCGGCTCCTGCTGACCTCCCGTCAGCTCCCGTCTCCCGTCTGATCTCGGATCACATGTGCTCCCGGCTCCCTTCGTCCCGGCTCCCGTCTAGTCCTGGCTCCCGCTTGCTTCAGTCTTCTCTCTCCCCTGACTCACATTCTCCGCAGTCGCGGCGCTATGGAGCACAGGTCGTCCGGCACCGCCGTCAGCTTGCTGCCGTAGATCCGCAGGTCCAGTAGCTGCCCGGTCCCGTTCAGATTGGGGAACACACTCAGCTCCTTCACACCAGACAGTTTGCTGGAACAACGGACAACGCTTATGTCAGGAGAGAATTAATGCAGAGATGGGGAGTTAGACTTCGTGACAGCGCCATGACATCTTGGTTCCAGAGATTGGAGGTTTAAATCTTCAAGAATGTAAAAAAAACGCGCTGTGACATAAATAAAACGTGACAGCAAAGTGCCTCAACAGGCACCCACAGTCCATAACAGTGCCTCAACAATAAAACACATGCACTCACAGACCAGCACAGTGGCTCAGTGCGCACTCTCAGACCAGCACAGCGCCTCAGTGAACACTCACAGTTCCTTGAGGCGCGGCAGGTTGGCGAAGGCGTCTCTGTCGACGGTGAGGATCGGGTTACCGCCCAGCTCCAGCTTCTCCAGCGACGGAGCCCGCTGCAGCACCCCTTCCTTGACGTACGTCAGACGGTTGCTCGACAGCTGACTGCAACCGCACCAAACGGCACATCAAACATGTGAACGAGCACGTGATGATAGTGTTGATAGCCTCATAGGCTAGCATTGAGTAATGACTATCCGAGAATACTGTAGCTTCCGAACAAATGTGCAGTGTTGGTAGCTGAGATGCTATATGCATGTATTGGTTGCATAATATATTAGTGTTCCTTGATGTCTCCATTTACAGGCTAAGCTGTGCAACGAGGACAGATGTTCATTACACCTTTCAACTAGAGTTGAGTGATGATGTTCGTTAGTCATCTAATTAGGCTCAGCCGCGAATACACCTTGATGTTCGGACGCGGCTCGAATAATGGCGTGGCTGCCCTCCTATCAGCATTCAGACACTGCGCTCGGATAAGTAACTCGTCCTTCAGAAACGAAAACTATTTAATGCTGTGCCGATCAGTGTGCTTATCACATCTAAACCGCTCATCTATGACCGTTACTACTCACATAGTCTGGACGGCAGTGAGGCGACCGATCGCCTTCGGAATGTCCGTCAAAAGGTTCCCCTCCAGCTCTCTAGGGAGGGTCAGGGGAGCGCCAGGTGTTAGTCTGTTATCATTCAGTGTCCGAATGGTTACATACACATCGTGTTATATTTGTATATTATTAGGTTAGTTTTGAATATATGTACATAAAATACGATCAGACAGAATAATAGGTAGAGTAAAAAATTAGAAAAAACATTCAAAACTGAACGTTATTGAAAAAAAATCAACAGATTGTTAAGCAGCATTGTTTAAATATTTCAGATAATATAACTGTGAGCAAATGAATTGCAACAATATGATATCAACGGTAGTGGATGGAATATAATAATGTGCACAGTGCATACATATAACTAATCAAGCACTGAGTGTCACATTTAACCCGCGCACCGACGGGGGGGGTGGATATCCGCCCCCCCTGAGGTTTTTCGCGAATAGCGGGAAAACCGCGGCGCGTAGCGCCGCGAAATTTGGTATGACTATTCCCTTATCAATTTTACACATGGTGTGCAAGTTTGAACCTCCTATCTTTCAAGGTCAGGTCACCAGGTCACTTTGAATGACCCAACCTCAAGTCACTTTTTTGCAACTTTGTCACCGTGCCAGAGATACAGTAGATGTCGGAGGCCTTTGAAAGTCGCAGGATGTTATTAGGTCATTAGTAGCTACAATTTGTATATCACGGAATTTTGATATCGGTGACCTAAGGTCAGGTCAATTTCGCGACCTCCCCATTATAAGTCAATGGGGGAAAAATCAACTCCCTGTTTTTACCACTAAAACGGGTCGGAATGGCCCCATATACCATACATGACTTCATATAAGATCAACCTTCACTACCTTGAGGTCTGTTTTGCTGTTGGGCAGCTGTGAGGTCATGTGACGTCATCAAAGGTCACCAAAGGTTTTTGGCCAATAACTCCGTACAGGAACAAGATACAGACGCGTGGATGGTCTCATTGTGTTCAGCTCGTCAAGACGCATCGAATGATATACATGATGACCTCGAGGTCACGTGACCTGAGGTCAACCTTTGACCTTGACCTTTCGAGGTCAACATATATATCATTCGATGCGGATTGACGAGAGGATCACGATGATGCCCTTAGTTTGTTCCTATCTTGACTAATTCGAAAGTTATTCGAGAAAAACTCTCTCCATATTTAGCGCCGCCATTTTGACTTTTTCGACCCCTGTGACGTCATCTTTGACCTGACCTGAAAATGACCTTAGTAAAAATTGTAGATCTTGACCGTGCGTATCCGATGCCGTTTACCGCTTGTCGCTATCTTGCTTCGTTCTCGAGATCTCAGGGGGGGCGGTCATCCGCCCCCCCCCCCCCCCCCGTCGGTACTAAGTTGGCGCAGACCCCCGTCGGTGCGCGGGTTAAGCCTCCTGTTCGTAATCGACGAGCCTGTCTTCTCGAGCCACAAGTAATATGCGCCCCCATTTAAACACAAGAACAGGCTGCCCTGTGTGAGGTCACTTACAGCACTCGGAGCTGGCTGAGTCCTGCGAACGCCTCATCATCGATATCCTGTAGGTAGTTGTTCTTCAGATTCCTGCCAGTGACGTTGAGAAGTTCAGACTAGTGATGTCTCCGAGCCAGGATCAGGAGAGGCTCGGGGGAAAGGAGTCACTCGGGAATTAAAAGGAAGGTTCGGAATCAAGAGATGTTTGAGCTCAGGAGAGACTCAGGGGTCAGAAATGTTTCAGTTAACCATAGCAAATCAGGGGTCAAGAGCAAGGCAGGAGAGGAGGAGCCAGATGACAGAAACAGCATTCGTAGCTACTTTGATTACAAAAGCTGATCAAGCGCATTTAAATTTGTCTTCTTGTGCCAGACTTTGGTACAAAGCACTTTCAAGTCCCACATGAATTGTCTGCCAACAGGAATCCTCGCCAGCGGCTGACTTGTGAGGGGATTTCGGAGCCAAGTGCTGCCAAAGTCTCGGCCGGACGTGTGTCGATTGACTCGGGGCTGCCAAATGACCTCCAGTTGGAGCGCTGTCCATCAGCGGAGCAGAGGCAATTTCACTTTATTCGCAGCCAGATGACTGAAGCTTTGTCACATAGAGCACACGCGAGTGATGTTTCATCCCGGCAGTAAAACTAGCCGAGGCTTGTATAAATCAACCAGTTCGCCCGCCATCCACCCGGAGAACTATGAATGCAAATGTTCCGCCAGAAAAAAAAACGTGCAATCATCAAGCCTGTTATGCCCCTCATGACGAATGGGGTCATCTCGGAGACAAATACCTCCAAAGGAGACCGTAAAGAACCCACTGAGCGGAAAAGCAGAATGAGGTGGATAAATGGAGATGAGAGGGCGAACGGAGACGGCACGGAAAACGGGATGGAAAACGGGACACTGCAGTGAGCGAAGAAATGGACGGAGTGGACAACCAGAGACGGAAGGGACCATGCAGCTAAGAGGCAACTGGTTCCAAAGTGGGGATGTTGCCGTGCGTGTTACAGCTGGACTGAGTGACAAGAAACAACACAGCGCCAGCCGGAGGTCCGGTTGGCGCTGACAGCCGTCCTTTATTCCCCGACAGTCTGCCCTGAGCAGGACGCAACCCCGGCCCACAGTCTCCCAGAGACGGCAGCGACCCCGTCCGGGCGGCATTGTGCCGACCCGGCCCAGGCCGCCGCGTCACTCTCAGCCGGGCCTCCTCAGACGCTGCCCGCTGCAGACGCCTTCCGATTCATTGAATAATCTGCCCCCCCCCCCCCCACCCCTGAGAGAGAGTGGCCATCGACGGCGACGACGGCGACGGCGCGCCGGCCGGGCCCGTAGGCAGCGGCCTCCGCCGACCCCGACGGCCGCCGGCGGCGCATCGGCGCGACACAATCCAGGCCGTCGGGCTGGGTCGGATTACAGCGGTCCGAGGGGGGTCGGAGAGAGGCGGGAGGACTGAGGTAGAGGAGGGATCAGGGACCACCACAGCGATATGGTAAAACATGGACCAATGAACGACAATGGACATAGGACCAACGATAAATTCGACCGCTCTGAAGGTAAAAATTATGTCAAAATACTTGTATTTACGATGTCGGTCATTGGAGTACACTTCGCAAGAGAATATCAAATTAAAAGGGCTACATGCATTACTCCCATGAATGAATTACAAAGGGTTATTTATATGCTATTCTAATGTGAATGTTATGAGCGTCGCTGCAGCTGAAGAAAAATGAATGTCTCGTTAGGCATGAAATCAAGGCAAGCTCTAGTGTCCTGGGAGGCAAATGAGTTGGACTGGTGGATGGCATGTTGCATATATTTGAGTTGAATAACGCGCCTGTTGCAGACATAAGCATGATTTAAATGCAATATATCATCCGGCAACATCCTGAGATGACAGAGGCGGCATCAAAATGTTTAGGGAATGTCAGCAACACCGGTCAACATGTACACCGTCTATAAACAATGTAAATAATCCATGAAAGCAACACATGCATTGCCGGTCAGTGTATTATAACGGAGCGACTTGCAACCTGAATGAGGGTTTTCAGACTGCAGGGGATAATTCAAAGGTAGCTAGTACTCACAGCAGCTGCAGGTTTTCCAGCGTGCTGAGCGCGTTGTCAGGCAGCGATGTCAACTGGTTGCCCTCGAGACTCCTGCCAATGAGACAGCCCGGTCGCCGGTTACAGAACGAAAGCGACTATCCATAACGACAAAATGGCCACTAGGGCCACGTTATTGTGCCGCAACGAGCGATAAAAGATAACGACCCGCGGCGTGGAAGATCCTTTAATCTATTTTCACGAGAGCTCTGTCGGAAATGAATCGGTGCATGGGATCAGAGGGCGCGCCGTTCCGCTGATCCGGCCGAAACTCAGACCCTACGTCCAGTGGCGGCGCTCTGTGTCGATGGATGTGGCCTCCGATAAGCCAGTTCGGCAGTCTGCACGTTACAAATGCTACACGAGGTCGCTCCGTGACTTGATTTCATGGAAGACCATGGCTATCGTGGTCCAGGAAGCTGCGCCTCCTGTGATTAATGGAAACGGTGCTGAGATCAGAGATGGTTTAGTTGGTTTCCTTATATGAAATGTACGAGTATTACGAGTGTGTGCTATCCAAGGTGATTCATGCTTACGCATTGTTGGTATAGCTTATCCAAAATATTTGTAATTTGAATAGTACATGCGTCTATTTATTCACCTTGCACGCAGCAGTGTGTACTTACAGCGCTTTTAGTCTTGTGAGAGGTGCCAGAGCCTTGCTTGGAATGCTGCTAAACATGTTCCTGTCCAGGAACAGTTCTTCCAGCCTCCGCAGTGGACGGAAGCTGGGCTCCGTCACCTCGCTGAGACGATTGTTTCGCAGATCCCTGAAAGAGACAAGCGGTCGTCAGATGTGCGAATTGATAGCTGGTGTTCCGTGACTGTACCAATAGTGTTTGGAAGTAAGGAGAACTTTGGCGACTATGCTGAGGATAGATGACCTAGGAAGGTACCAGGAAGCAAGAGTCATATGTACCTAGATACCATCCAAACAACGTAAACAATGCCTAGTTATGAGCAATAAGTGCGTCAAAAAAGTCAACGGTTAAGAGTTAAGACATGATGCATTGCTAAGCTCAGATATTGTGCTCATTCTGGTTGTGCATACAGCATACACATATTTATATGTAAATTAACTAATTATAGTTTCATTCATATCTTAACGCAGCAGCAAGAACGTCATTCAAGCTGCGTAGGTACTGTCTGCGTGTTTGCCAGAAATGCGGCGGCGAGGGACAAGGGACATTTGGCGGGCACCCCGTGGGATTCCTCGTTAGGCGGACCTGACTGTGGCGGCCGCCAAGATGTGCCGGATATGACTCCGGATGATGGGCCCGTCCTGTCTGAAAATGACCGCGCCGCTCCCTCTCACGAGGTCAGCGCTGCAGCTGACAGACAAACTCTGGGCTCGTGACTCAGTGAAAGGAGGGCCGCGTCGCGTGGGATCCCCGTCCGCATGCTAAAAAAAAAACTGACATCATAATGCATTGCTATATAAAATCACTTTTATCTTCACTTACAGTTTGGTGAGCCGTAATTGCCCATACATGGCCTCGGGGGCTAACGCTTCGATCCGGTTCCACGCCAGTGACCTATGGACAAGAAGCGAAAACATTACGAATTACACCTTTCACAACTTCCTGGTTGGTAGGGCGGCGAGGTCAAGAATAAATCCTTTCATTCATTGGAAATAGATCCGTCCCGACTGTCGGGGAGACCCCAAACATCTGTCAGAGTCACCGAAAATTCCTGTCGCGGACACTGCAGATTCCTGTCCGGTCCGGCACGGCGTTTATTGCAGAAAGTTGCCGGGTATAAGACCGGCAGCCAGCCACAGCTGGTCCGAAATGAGCTCCCAGCCCGCCGACAGGCAGTGGCCGCGTCTTCCCCAACCATACTCTGCTCCAGCCCCCCGGATGGCACCGCACCGGCATTCGCCAGTTATCTCACCACAACACACGGCAACAGCAAACAGGAAGAGGATGGATAGTTCACTATCTAACAACTTTAAATACGATCAAAAGATTGTTTTACACTCATATTCCTCCCTCTTTCCCTACATCCCTTCCTCCTACCTCCCTGACTCCATCTTTCCTCTATCCCTCCCTATAAGTCCATCCATCCCTCTCTCCTTTTTTCTCCCAACTTCCTTCCATTCCTCTCTGGCTCCGTCCATTACTCCCCTCCCTCCTTCCCTCTCTCCCTCTCTCTCTCTCTCTCTCTCTCTCTCTCTCTCTCTCTCTCTCTCTCTCTCTCTCTCTCTCTCTCTCTCTCTCTCTCTCCTCTCGCTATTTATCCAGATACATATATCCCGCTACCAGCCCTATATGTTTTCATGTCCAGATCTGGGGGCCACTCACAGCGATCTGAGACGCAGCCGCTGGAAGGCGCTCGCCGGCACTTTGCCTATTCGGTTATGGCTGAGATCACTGAAACAAAAGGACGAACAAGGTCAAGTAGGCACTTGGCTAGAACGCAGAGTCGACTGCTGTTTATACTCGGCTGTAAACCGACATAATGCCTAATGGTATCCACTGAAGTTATTCATGAATGCGCATATGGGGAAAGTGGTAGATTAGTTGCGTTCTCATTTCTGGTGCAGTGAATTGCTCGCTTAAGAGTTATTCCAAAAAGTAATGGTATTATCTGAAATTCGTAATTGAGAACTCAAAAAATGATAAATTTCTGGCTAATCACGGTGCCTAAAATGATAAGATAACAGTAAAAATATATTGAGTACTCACAGCTTAACAACAGACGGGAACGTTTTGTACAAGTCGGGTGGGATGCTCTGGAAGTTATTGTTGCTCAGATCTCTGCAAAAGAAGAAAAACGTGTTACACTCTATCCATCCATGCACTCACACTAGCCCAAGCGATCGTTAAACACAGCTAACTCAAACAAAATATGTATATGTTACAGGCAAAGTGAAAACTCTGGCGGGTCAGGCATTTTGCAAATTGCCTAGGCATTTTGCAAAATGCCCGAGTTTTCACTTTGCCTGTAACATATATAAAAGTTTGACCACAGTGTTTGAGTGTCCGTTTTGGGGAACCACTTTAAAAATGCTCGATGCAAAAGAGCTCCGCTGATAAGCTGCAAAACAGGCAACTCATACCCCTGCCGTCTCTACATAACATCTGTAATGTGCACCTGAATGGTCTTAATTACTTCAGCAGTCATAAACCGGCCACTAAACGTAACCCCTTCCATTGTTATTTAAATACCGCGTTCATAAAGCGTTTGGCTGCCCTCATTCAGCACCATGTCGCGGCTCGTTATCGTGTCGTGTGTCTGTCGGGCTGCGTCACAGACGTCCAATCCGTCATCGAGCTGTCCCGCTGGCGTGTGTCGCGCCGCCGGTGTCGGCCTGTCAGTGGGCCGCTCCGGAGCAGATAACGCCAGTCAGGCCCACTTAGCGACGACGGCGGCCGTGAAACGACGGCCGAGAGGGAGAGAGAGAAGGGGAGGGAGAGAGGGAGATGGAGAGACGCGGTCTGATGTCGTGACGATCGCATGCCGTCAAAGGCAGTCAGCGACTGGCGGTGAGCGGCGAGCTATTGTTCGCTCAGTATATGTGTCGGGATAAAAAAAACACCGAAGGTCAGAAGGTAGCATAATTAGCCAACATAATGTCAAACCAGACTTGTAAGCGATTCAACTCTGATTGAATCGATTCTCATGAATCGCTTGAAAATGCCGACTCACTGTGATTGAGTCGGTTGAATCACCTCTTGTCACCATATGAATCCTGATTGATTCGGTCAAACATGGCAACTGCAAGTGATTGAATCGGCAACTCATCGATTCAAGTTGATCGAATTAACAAAATGATTCAATCACCATGTGCTGGAAATTGAGGTTATGACCATATTTAGTACTATATTATGTAGAAATATATGTGGCATTTGCATCATAGTCACACACAATGCACTGCAAAATTTTTAGGTATTTTGTCAGCATTATAAATGCGCACAGCTATCATAATTGAAAAACATAAAAAATTGTTTTAGGTTTTAATCAAACTGTAAACACAAAATATACATAAATGTCAATGCATAAAGATGAAAAAATGAATGTTAAGTTTCTTTCCAGTGCCTTAAAATCAGTATAGTAGCCAAGTTAACAGTAGCAGTAAGCAGGCGCACATTGCTCAACAGTTCAACACACATGTTTTAGATATCATGTTAATCATTATATTTTCAATACCCTGTTTCATCAGGACATTTGTGAGTATATTGATGAATACACAATGCATGTTCACATTATAATTTGGTAACCTTAGTTACTGATTTGATTTTGGGCTAAGGGTCATAAATTGCTTGATCTAACCCATGGTCTTCTCACTCACTTTACATTTCCCAGCAGAATCAGCGTTTACCTATCAACGTAAATAACTGGAATACCTTGGCTTATGAGCACTGATGGATCTGTCACATATTGCCGTGGTGGCTCCCAATTACACAAAAGTAAAGATACAATGGCAAAAAGCAGATACATACCCTACTAGGTATTAAAAAACAACCACCTTCCCATCACCTCCACCATCACCCAAAATCTATTGTTTTCATAGCTCAACAATCTTTATCCGTTTGGTGTTCTTCACCTTCTAGTTTTGAGGACCGCTAACAGTTTTGCATTCGATGCTAAATTCGGATTAGAGATTTGCCAGACTGCTCGCAATATTTGCCACATGCAAACCACGCAAAATATGTACGCTTTTATGTCGCAGCTGCGTCAATATACGCTGCAACTACCTAGTGCCGGGCTAAATACATATTGCCAAACCAATTTAGATTTTTACTGTTGGATATTTTTTTCTGTAATGAATTGGGCAGAATAAAAAATTGTTTTACACGCATGCATAAATATGCTTAATTGAATCTAAAAATATAAACTATGTATTTTATATAGTTAGTAATTCATGTTCTGCTGCCAAATTAAAGATGGCTGCCCACTTAGCGCATGCGTATGTACTTCAGTACTAAAGGCCTTGCTACACTACGCGTGTTCTGCGTGCGTTTTTTGCGAGCTTGCACGTTTGCGTATATTATATAAAAGTTAATAAAACCTTTTATAATGATTTAATAATTAAAAAAAATCATAAAAAATATAACAAAAACAAAACATAATATCGTTTCTTTCTAGAACCATATTATGCAAATCACGCAAACTCGCAAAAGCAAAAAACGCACGCAGAAAACGCGTAGTGTAGCCAGGCCTTTACAACTTGCAACTCAGCTTGAGCTCCGCCGCGTATGAAGTTTGGTGTCGTGGGGCGGGCTTGGAATTGTTATTTTGTCATTGAAGATATGGATGGCTGAGGTAGTTTTATCATGAGAGCATTCAATTTATATTATGTAACTATTGAATAGCTTCGTATGTGTCGATATTCCGTATTCTTGATAGTAAAGAAAACTTGTAGCACGCCGAAAATGTCTAGTCCGTGTAATCTTTACCGGCTTTACCACTGCTTGATAAAGTATCAATCAATATTTTTTTGAATGGCTGATCACCAGCTGTTTTAGTTTGGGTATCACAATTGATTTGCAAATTTTGGTCCTTTTCGATTATGCTGATAATATGTGGTAGTGTTCTGTGCAATTTTGCATGTTTCCTTTTGCAAGCGCCAAGCAGATAAATGAATTTTTATAAGTCTTCTGGTAGCTTCATTTGTAACAGAACTTGTGTTTTCTGCACTTCAATTATCATCTTTCCACCGTATTTATATAAATATCTACAACTTTGTTGAGAGTTCAGTATAGATTTAGTACTTTTCTATGTTTTTTGGTATTCTCCTAGTGTATTTGGTTGGTATCTGTTTTGTATCAGTTTCCAAAAAATGTCTTAAATTGATATCACATATGTATATATTTTATATAACATCTTGATTGAATCGCGTTGAGTTAAATCATGAGTTGAGTCATTCCCTGAATCACTGAAAATGGGATGAGTCGTGATTGAGTTGAATAACAAGGTCCATGAGTCGTGATTGAATCGCTTGGAAAATCAGACTGTTTGATTGAGTTATGATTGAATCGGTCATTTCATCAAGTGAGTCGTGATTGAATTGATTGAATTTTTTTGAATCGTTTACAAGTCTGTGTCAAACATTTCTTAGTACGCGTAGAAACACGCAGGATTCCAGGTTATGTATGTAAGGTTACATAGCAATGCAACGGTCAATAATGATTAAGTTTGTACAAATGTCAAATAGCATCCGTTCCCGATAGTATCACTGCACCGAAGCGCGTTCCTGAAGCAACTGTAAGGACCATCCCATCCTGCTCTCCTAAAAACAAGTTGAGCTCTTCGTCCCAGTGACCCACAATGGAGCACCACTGACGTGTCAGAAATAGCCCGTCCGACTTGAATGAACAAAGCCAGCGGTAGTACTGTCTGCAAAATACCGCAATTGGCGCGGCCGGCGGCGGCCGGCCGGGGTCCGTCTGGACGGGGCTTATCTGGGAGTCGGGCTGGTTTATTGCCGCGTTTGTCTGAGCAGTCTCGTCTCGGGCAGTGTCAGCAGCCGTACATAACTCGGGGGGAGTCGGAGGCCGGCCGAGATTCAGACGCTTCCGGTCGGAAGGCCGTGACAAAGCGTGCACCGCGGCGCGCTTTAGTAGACTGGTGTGAGCGACACTTGCTCCTTTTTTTGCTTTTAGGCACAAACGAGCTCATCGCTGTGACTCATGACATTTTTTTCGCATGACGTGAATCTAGGAACTCGGATTTGTATAGGCATACAACTGGGCACTGTGCAGCAATGTGCGAAAATATGTTTGAAATAATAGCACATTGAAAACAATACCTATCCAGCGCAATCTATTAAAACATGAGCAATAATATTATGTGCTTGTTAAGATGGGAACGCCCATCAACATATCTGTAACATTCAAACATCCTCCTCACCAAATGCAGTGTCCCCCGATATCGGCCGCACTCGAAGCCCAGTCTGGTGCTCTCTTTCCGCCAGCATTGAATTCAGTGGCATGCGGTACAGCCTACCCCGGACTGTGCAGGGGGCTGCTGCCCGCTCTGCGCCGTCCGCGGGAGCCGTGCGGTTGGTGCAGTGCGGTGTGGTGCTGTGCCTTCCTCGGCCCCTGGAGCCACAGGGGTCTGTGCTCGGACAAACGGCGTCCTGCCGACGTCATCCAATGACGCATAATGGGCACCGCACGCGTCACATCTCGGTCCGAAGACAAACGACGGCTCAGGCGGGAGCGGCGAGAATGCTTAGTCGGAACGGAAGCCATGAGAGAACCTGATCTCCCATCCATCACTCCGACTGTCCTTAATCTGCGCACAGTCCGGACGGCGGCGGCTCTGCCGGTCCCACGCCGCGGTCAGCGGTGAGCCGCGGCGCTCAGCCCTGAGCGACTTCGCCATCATCTGGCCCACGGGACAGGGGCGGGATAACAAATCACGTCACGCTATTAGAGGGCCCTGTCAGGCTAATCGCATACATCGGACGCTAGGCGTCGCTATCTGATACTGAGCAATGGGCGGGGCCGGTTCGGGGTGCAGCGTCACACCTGACCCTGCCCTCAGAGACGGACGGCATCTCTGCAGGTTCTCAGCGGGACGCCGCAGTCAGTCTGCACGCCAACAGACGTCGCGGAGTAGCAATGATTCAGAGTCAGAGAATAGCGCATAACGGGCGGTTATGAAGTGCTACTGCACTGTGTGGATATAAATATATCAGTAAGAAGTGCACGTAATTTTAACTCATGGGGCATTCCACGTCAAATCGAACAAAAATCGGCTGTTTTGCACCTTACCATCATCGATTTCATTATAAATTTGTGAGCGAGTT